TGTAGGCACAGAATGGATACTCATCCAGCTACCGGATGCAGGATTGTCCCACTGAAAACCTTTTATGACCAAACACGCGCATGATGTCATCAACAGCTCTTCTGGGTTCAGCTGGTGGGGCCTCGCAATGACGCACCGCTAGGCCCACCTCCATTCTACTAGCTGAATGTAAAACTCAAGGCCCCCTGGGATACTGTATGTGTGCATATCCCGGGTGGCCCAGCTTGCGCTATGCACGTCATTTGTCTAGGCCAGTGGTCTCCAAACTTTCTAAACAAAGGGCCAGTTTACTGTCTTTCAGACTTTAGAGGGGCCAGACTGTGGCCATTGGGAGTAGAAAAGGTCCTGACATCAGTTGGAAAAAACAATGTCCAATTGTTGGCGTCACTCTGAGGAATTGTGCCTCATCATTGATGTCATTCGGCCCCATTGTTGGTGTCATTCGGAAAATTGTGTTACATCATTGGTGTCATTGGGAGCAATTGCACCCCGTCCTTGGTGTGATTGGTAGGAATTGTGCACCTTCATTGGTGTCAGTGGAGGGAATTATGCCCCATTGTTGGTATCAGTGGATGAAATAGTGTCCCGAGGGCCAGATAAAAGTAAGCAAAGGGCAGCAGTTTGGAGACCACTGGTCTAGGCGAATGACAGGCAGTGAGGGGCAGCCTTTTTATGAAGAAAAAAAATGTAACAATAAAAAAACTCTGCCCTCTTTGCGTAGAGTTGGGGAAGGGGGATTGAGAGGGGAGGACTTCACAAGGAGGGTGAAGGTCCTCTTTAAGTCACTGCATTACTCAGTATTGATGTGGGAAAATCTAGGGTATGTAGAGGGGAAGGAAGCATCCGATGGAACCAGAAGTGTGTTGTTTGCAGGAGAGCTTTCAGACAGATTGTGAATGTTAGGAAGGGTGAGTATAAAGCCTCAATCACACAGAATTTTGATGCCAACTGCAGATAAAATGCAACTGGATTCATAGATGGATGGAGATAGTTGTGGCCATGCAGCCTATACAAAGCGATGATAAGCTGACAGCTGTCCACAATTGTTCACATGTAATCACACATGCAGCAATCATGTGGTTAGGGACAGGTGATTGCCCCTTGAGGCAACAGGTTGCATCACCTATCCCTAGTCACAGTTAATAGCTCCATGTGCCAATACATGGGGACATCTGGAGACAGCTGCGGCGGCTGTCAGCATATCATTGCTTGGTGCAGGCTGAGTGACTGCAACTATCTGCATCTATTGCTAATCCAGCCACAGAAATACAATTGATTCTTGCTGCAGAACTTTGATCTTTTTCCAATAGGGATACCTTTTCTAAAACTTTTATTTTAACATTTTAAACATTGATCAATGCCTAAATGATGTTATTTTTCAAAGCTTCATATTTTAAAAATGTATTTATATTGTTCACTGAGTTACTTAGGTGGAAAATAGTCTGCCATTTCTTTTTTCAGAAGGTGTGCCTTTTTTGGACAGGGTGTGGAAGAGTACAGTAGTTTATTTTATTATCTTTGTACTTTTTCCCCTTTTTTGTTTGCTATTGCTTTTTTATGTTTATTATTTTTTTTTTTTACATTTTTTTTCTTCTTCTTGTGGAAAAAAAAAAAGGAAATGAGACTCAAAAGGTCCAGGATAGTTAAAATGATTTCAATATCCCTAAGGGCTCATTTCTAGGTATGTAAAGGTATGTTTCTTCAGTGATCACCAATATAAAGGGACCATTCTCCACTGATTATTAGGGATGCACAGATACCATTTTTTGATCGGTGAGTATGAGTATCGATACTTTCAGTCAAGTACTCGCCGATACCGAGTACTGTTACTTTGCAGTGCAATTTGCACCTATACAAGATGTATGGACGCAAATTGGACCACAAAGAATAGCATGTGAATTGAACAGGAATGCAATTCTTGTCCAAATCGCATGCAGTTTCCTCACTGTTCCTGTGTGAACCCAGGCTGTCATAGCCTGATAGTACAAACAAATGGCAACTTCCCCAATTTATAACTGTTTTCTTTGTTGTTGACATGCATCGCCCTTCCATGTGCTCCTTGCTGCAAAGGCCAGTTATAGATTGGGGCAGTTGCCATTTGTTTGTACTGTTGGTATATTCATGAGGGGTGCACTGGACCCCTTGGCTGCCATTGTGCTACATGCTGGGTGTCCCTGTGCCTTTATGTAGGGGTGGGCTCCCTCCAGGCTTACCTGCCCTCAGTCTATCCATTATTATGCTCGTGCTTCTACTATGGAGGCTCTCAAAACTTATAGTTAGGTTTGTGATCTACCCTGTACTGTCATCCCTGCAAGGAGAGGAGAGAGCTGTGGGGATTTCAAATCCCTGTGACTTTCTCTCCTCTCAGTGCAGGGATGACAGTATGGGCTAGGTGGCTTCTGATTGGTCAGCAGTGACACCGGGATTTGAAATCCCTGCAGCTTTCTCTCCTCTCCTACAACGGAGAATCTGGAGCACCTGCATTCATCCTCCGCCTGATATATATATCCCCACGTGCCCTTCTCTCCCACTCTCCGCTCACTCACTCAGCATGGGATTGATGCAGGGAGGTTTCCTGTACCACTCTAGTATGAACTCAGGTTATGACTGTGACAAACCTGGGCTCACACAGGAGTGGTGTAGAAACCGCATGCGATTTGGACAGGAATTCTTTGCAGTGCAATTTGCATCCATACATTTTGAATCGACGCAAATTGCACCACAAATTATCAGTTTGGGTAGCGGAAGCATTTTCACGAATATGCGTACTCGTGGAAATACTCGGTATCAGCGCTTCCCTACTGATCACCAATGTAAAGGGAATTTCTCCACTGACAGTCACTGTAAAGTGGCATTTCTTCACTGATCACCAATGAAAAGGGACATTTCTCCGCTAACCACCAATGTAAAGGAGGATTTCTCAACTGACCATCAATGTAAAGGAACATTTCTCCGCTGACCACCAATGTAAAGTGGCATTTCTTCACTGATTGCCAATATAAAGGGGCATTTCTCCGCTAACCACCAATGTAAAGGAGCAAGAATAACATTTGAAAAACATGTAGCATTAGCATCACTTCACATTGCTGTGCGGCAAAAATTCAAGTTTGGTCAAGCTTGTCAACTCCTTCCATTCAAGTCTACGGTAATGCATTGTAAATGCACCTGTAGTATTTACATCACGTTTGCAAGCATTTATCAATGATCAGTAGTGTGGAAAAAAACATTTCCCCTAAAAATCACTTGGAGGGTGTCTGTGGAGTTTTTTTTTTTTTTCTATTAACAAGTGTTAAATTGTTAAATGGGTCAAAAACAACCATTAAGGCTATAGGTGCATTGGTTTGTGTTAGAATTTTTTGCAAGTGTGAACTTCACTGTAGTTTTTTTTTTTTTTTGATGCAAGCAGTGTATGTACCTAAATTTGACCTAGTATCAGCCTCTTACAGACTCTGTACAGCAGGGCTGCAGTGTGTGCAAATGAAGCAGCACAAGGAGCCAATTAGATCAAATACTGACAAGAAGCATACTTACATACTGACATCCCCAGTGACTCCAATAAAGTGATCAGTGCTAAATAACAGCACTGACATTGTACTAATGACACTGGGCAGGAACGGGTTAATGTGAGGGGCAATCAAAGGGTTAATTGTGTGCTGGGAGTGTTTTACTAGGGGGCGAAGTGTGTGCGCTTCACTGTAAGCACACTGATCGGGATGGCTGTGCTGTGCACAGCCATCCCTAGCAGTGTGCCCGAGCTTACAGGGAGGAAGACTGTAAACAAATCAGTCTTCCTCCCCGTCAGTGATTGTCAGTAATCACAGGGCGCCGGCGGGTAATCATCGGCCAGGACCTGGGGATTGACATCCGCGGCCACAAATGGCGCAGGTAGGGTGGGCGCCCCCTACCCAGAAATGCAAAATCATGTATATGTTCATGTGATTTTGCACACCCGTGCCGCTGTGTAGCAGTATGTCTGCTATACGGCGGCGGGTAAGCAGTTAAAGAGCCCTGTAAACACAGGACTCTGTGCTGTGATTGGCTATAGCTGATCAGCCATAAATCATTGGCTGGACCTGCTGTGAGAGTGCGGGTTATCAGCGGGCATGCGTATCAAACCCAAACAGCCTGCCCATGCTGTCGCCCCACAGTAAACGTACCATGGGTAGGCAGAAACTGGTAGAAGTAGAAGTTTACCCATAACAACTTGATAAAAAAGTTCTTTAGCAAGAAACATACATTCCACAATAATCATGCTACCAAAATAAGTGTGTGCTGTAAATCGCCTCCAGCACTGCTCCCATTTCTTCTTGTTGGAGGCTGCCATTTTACTGAAGTTCAGAGCCTATGAGCAGCAGAAAATCTTTAGTTTCAACACATCGGGCTCTAGTTTTCGGTATGGTGCCTAAAAAGACAGCAACTGAGCATGTGCAAAACAAGGGGAGACAGTGTATTACTGGTGTCAAACAATATAGGCATTTATTTATAATGTTTAACATAGCTATACCTGTAAAGTGGGCCAGCCTGAAGCGATCTAGCAGGACTCCATTTTCTGACTAACGTGAAAAGCAAAAACTGCCCAATCACCACCCACAGCTCTGAAGAATCATGGGAAATGTAGTGCTGTGAGCCATGGATAGATATGAGGGAAAATTATGTATGACATATCAAGGATCTCTCCTCCATGTTTCTGGACATTGATGACAAAAAGGGGGGGGCTGACAGTGATACCTTGGCAACTTAAAAAAAACACTTATTAGCAAGAGGATAAAACTGTCTGCACAGTTCTAGCCTGATAGGAAAAAGATGTATTTGATCTCTATTGCTTTGTAATGATGTCTTTGTACAGCCATAATCTTAGATCCACATTGATATCTGTGACATAGTTAAAGAAGATCATTAAAATGACAGAATCATGGAGGGTGCAGGAGAACAGCAATCATTTTATGAGTTATTGTGCATGGCATTCCAAAAAAAGTTATTCTCTCAGAACCATTTGTGTATCAATAAATCCCATAGGTGGGTTCATCTGAGTCCCTGTATCTGTCCAAGTATCTGAGAGGCTGACTGTGAGGAAATTTTTTCTGTGTCGGGTGATATCTTGGTGGGAACTGGTGTTCAAAGATAGGTTCCTTCATATCTAATGGAAAAGAAGAAAAAGTTTACATAATTATAATATACAATTTATGAAGTTCAATAGAAGTGACCTCAATAGGTCTTGTTAATAGTATATCATCGACTTTCATTACCACTCTGTGTGACAGCAGCTCTTCAGTACCAAGAGGACAGTTCAAAGTGCTCCAACTAAACACCCACCTGATAGGGCACTGGCCTATACCTGCTCAGACCACAGGGTGGCCAGACCCAAAGTACAAACTCTGGGGCTGATTTACCAAAGGAGTGGACACTGTTCATTTTGGAAAGTAAATGTTAGTTTACTCGCCTCCTGCCCACCATATAAGGAAATGGTGGGCGGTCAGCATTGGCGGCAGCTCTCTCGTTCTGGAAGGATGTCATATGATGTCCTCCCACTCTAACTGTGCATGCGTGCCCCCCCGGCGGTGCACTGTGTCCCTAGGACACAGTGGATCACCGATCACACTAAAGAGCCGACGACATCAGCTCTGTCATGTGATCAGCTGTGTCCAATCACAGCTGATTACATGTAAACAAGGAAACACCGGTAATCGGCATTCCTCAGAGGGGACATCTACACTGATCATCAGTGCAGCCCCAACAGTGCCCATCAATGCCACATATCAGTCCCCATCAGAGCTGCCTTTCAATGCCAGTCAGTGACACCTATCAGTGCCACCTAACAGTTCCAGTCAGTGCCTCCCCATCAGCGCTGCCTCATTAGCACACATCAAAATTTTTCAGTCTTTTTTAGTTTGTTAAGCAAAAAATAAAAAAACCCAGTGGTGATTAAATACCACCAAAAGAAAGCTCTATATGTCTCAAAAAAAGATAAAAATTTTGTTTGAATGATAATTGCACAGTCATCCAACACTGCACCCAAAGTGGGACAGCACTGAAAGCTTAAAATTGGCCCGGGCAGGAAGGGGGTAAAAGTGCTTGGTAGGCAAAGGGTTAAAAAAAGTGAAGCTTTGTTCACTTTGAATACCCAATCTTGTGCAAGGGAGATTTAAAAGAAAATGCATTTTTGCTAGCACATAACTGACATAACACTGAGTTTGCTAACTGAACTGTCCTCCACTCCTTTAATAAACACCAATGTCTAGGAATTAGCTTTTTATTTTTAAGATCTATAAAAGCTCGTGGCTCCTCATTTTAAATTATATCTCTATTCATAACTTCTCTTCAATTTTGGGAGGAGTAGAGAATGGTTAGAACCTCTCTTTTTTTTGCTGTATCCAGTTGAGATTTCCCTTCACTTCCTGTCCCAAAGATACAACAGGAAGGGAGTGGAACTCTCTTCACAGTGTGTGGAAATCCCTCAGACAGTTGTCACTGAACAGGTGGAAGATGTCCTCTCACTGTCTAGTTACAGCATGAAATGCATCAGCCAGAGAAGGCAACAGTGGTCTTGTATCTTTAGCCGTTCTAAGTTGTGCCATGCGTTTGGTGTGCATGGTAGTGATCATGGGAATAGGGACACATGAGCACATTCACTATATATCTTTGCTCTGACCCACTGGCTATTCAAAAGAAGGATACAAATGAGACTTGGGGGTTTATTTACTAAAGCTTGACAGTGCAAAATCAGGCTCACTTCTGCCTAGAAACGAATCAGCTTCCAGGTATGATTGGTAAAGCTTAATTGGAGAAGCTGAAGTTAGAAGCGAGACGGATTTTGCACTCTCCAGCTTTAGCAAATAAACCCCTTGTTGTAATCTGAAAGTTATCACTTAAAGAAGTACAGCCAAAGCTCTTTTGGCTGTACTTCTGTGGATCACAGGAGTGCAGTTCGTTCAGCATGCCTGTGACCCGTTGTCAGTTGACTGTGGGCTGAAGCCCACTGTTGACTGATGTCACTCAGGCAGTCCAGGCTGGGGAAAGATCCCGACTTTAAAGTCCCTGTCACGGTTTACCCACACGCCACGCGCACAGCGACTAGCTAACCGAGGCGCACTTGTGGCCGTGACTTGGGGTAAGAGGGAATAAAGGGGACTTAACTTTGAATATATCTACATATATAAGATCAGCCGTGATATACTTTCACAGCCCGCACTACCTCTTGGCCACCACCGTAGGGGGAAACTCCACTCCAATCCAGCTGGTCGACCACACACACTGGCAGATACAAATCTTATATACAATCTGATGCACTAATGAGAGTTGAGGAGCAGCTTAGCAATCACACACCCTTCTAGGATCCCTCCAGCTATCCTACAAGCCAGAACCCCGGTGTTAATCACTCTTCCACTGTCCACACCAAACACACCACAAACGGTAGCTTGCCACCACCCAACAGCTTTACTGGCCTGCTGGGACACCAAACACACACAGATCTCCATCTGGCAGACCTGTTACCTTTACAATCTGCATACAATCTGCCAACACACAGTGCAATTGCATACAGACAGGCAATGAACTTGACCGAGCATATAAAGGCACTAAAATACAATCCAATCTAATCTCTCCGGAGATATGAGCCCATGCTTAAATACCCAGAAGTCACTTATTAATTGTAAGATTTAATATCCTGTGGGCAGTGCATAAAAAATGTACAAAGTATAAAAAAATTACAGAAAATACAAAAAATTACAAGACACACATAGACTATTCACTATAAAATAAAAGGGAATAAAATGAAAATAAAACGTTTACCAAGATTTACCCTGCGACTGGAGCAAGTCCAAAAAAGTCCGTAATCCGTTAGTCGATCGAACCAGCTCCATACGAATCACCATGTCCAAATGTCAGGGTCCTCAATTTATGGGGATATGGACATAGGCGGGACATTAGTCTTTGGCCAATTGACTCGGGGAGTGTTCCTGTACCCTCCCACAGGCTGTTCTGGGTGCTGAACTGTCTAAAGTCAATTGGACAAGGAACGGCTTGAATCGCCAAGTCGGGGATTGAATTTCCGACACCAGCGCGTCAGTCCGATCGTGACAGTACCAATCTTCGTTCAGCTGTCACCATCTGGCACCACATAACCATTTCCTGCATTTTCCTGGCATTCCACATAGGCCACAAATATAGTTTTTACATGCCGATGCAGCGCACAGAGTGTCCAATCAGAAAGAAGTATTTTCATCTCTCTGCAACTAATATTTTAGCTTTTATGAGGGATGAAACATACTCCTTTGATATATGTACAGTTGTGTTCAAAATTATAGCAGTCAGACATCACTAACCTGATCAATCACTGTTTTTGGTAGAAATTATATTTCTACATGGAAAATAATTTACTAGCAGGTGTAATAGAGTAATAGAAATCCAACAGTCATGACATGCATGCTGCTGATTTTGTGTAATTAAATCACTAATTGAAAGGGGCATGTTCAAAATAATAGCAGTGTGGAGTTCTATTAGTGAGGTCATTCATTCTTTGAAAAACAGGTGGCAATTATTGCCCTTATTTAAGGAAGGAAGGCAGCAAATGTTGTACATGCTGGTTACAGTGCATTTCTCTGAAATTCTGAGGAAAATGGGTCGTTCCAGACATTGTTCAGAAGAACAGCGTACCTTGATTAAAAAGTTGATTGGAGAGGGGAAAAACATATAAAGAAGTGCAGAAAATGATAGGCTGCTCAGCTAAACTGATCACAAATGCTTTAAAATGGCAACCAAAACCTGAAAGACGTGGAAGAAAGCAAAAAAACTACCATTCAAATGGATAGAAGAATAGCCAAAATGGCAAGGACTCAGCCAACAATCAGCTCCAGGAAGATCAAAGAAGGTCTAAAGTTACCTGTGAGTACTGTTACAATTAGAAGATGCCTATGTAAAGCCAAGCTATCTGCAAGAAGCCCCCGCAAAAAAAAAAAAAAAAAAAAAAAAAAAAAAAAAAAAAAAGGACGTGCTGAAGAGGTTACAATTTGCCAAAGAGCACATTGACTGGCCTAAAGAGAAATGGCGCAACATTTTGTGGACTGATGAAAGTAAGATGGTTCTTTTTGGGTCTGGTGGCCGGAGACAGTTTGTCAGATGACCCCCAAACACTGAATTCAAGCCACAGTACACTGTGAAGACAGTGAAGCATGGTTGTGCAAGCATCATGATATGGGGATGTTTCTCATACTACGGTGTTGGGCCTATTTATCGCATACCAGGGATCATGGATCAGTTTGAATACATCAGAATACTTGAAGAGGTCATGCTGCCTTATGCTGAAGAGGAAATGCCCTTGAAATGGGTGTTCCAACAAGACAACGACCCCAAACACACCAGTAAACGTGCAACATCTTGGTTCCAGACCAACAAGATTGACGTTATGGAGTGGCCAGCCCAATCCCTGGATCTTAATCCAATAGAAAACTTGTGGGGTGACATCAAAAATGCAGTTTCTGAGGCAAAACCAAGAAATAGAGAAGAACTGTGGAATGTAGTCCAATCATCCTGGGCTGGAATACCTGTTCACAGGTGCCAGAAGTTGGTTGACTCCATGCAACACAGATGTACAGCAGTTCTCAGAAACAGTGCTTATACAACTAAATATTCATTAAGTGATTCAAAGGAAAGCAAAATCTTCAAACATTTTTCAGTTTATATAGTGAATGTTTGAGTTTGTAAAGAAGAATACAAACACTGCTATTTTTTTGAACAGTCTAATATTCACTTTTCTTAAATTTTTTAGAGGAACAACACAAATTTGATATATTTTTCTTCATGTTTTGATTTGGAATAGAATGTGTAGTGTTCCCAATGCATTTGTGTGTATGGAAATAAAAGCTATTAGAAGGATTTTGAGCTTTTTTCAAACACACTGCTATTATTTTGAGCACAACTGTATATACTTTAGAGCTCCCTAGACAGATCGGAGACCCCCTTGGTGTCATGAAGCCGAAACATCTGCGTTTCTCTTTTAAACTTCAGGAAGATGGCAGAGTCTGATTACATATAGGTGACAAAATCTTATTAGCACCCAGGTGCCACTTCCAGCCTGAGGAAGCTCTGTCTATTTTCAGATGCTAATGTATGACCATCTGTTGTCCCTGAGTACCTATGACTGAATATTTCTTTAACAAGGACTGAAACTACATTTAGGATTACATATTGCTACAGATCACATTTCAGCTACTCAAATCTGTACATTTATGTCACAGTCCCCACCCCCGAGTATGGAGCAGCACCTGGCTCCGCCTCTCAGCAATCCGCTGAAAGCCTGAGCCACCCACTCCCTCCCCCCCTCCCCAGTCCAGTGGGGGGCAGAGCAGACAGTGGTGACTGACAGTCACTGCTCTATGCTCAGAGCGGCTGTAAGAACTCAGCAATCATCAGTCGTGATCGCTGATTTCTCACACCGGAAGCCATCAGGGAACCGATGCTACATCCACCTAGGTAAGTATGATTTAAAAAACAAAATCCCATACTTCTCTTTTAAAATGGTTGTAAAGGCAGAAGGTTCTGCATGCAGCTTCTTCCCACAGCCCCCCAAATACATACCTGAGCCCGATCTCAATTCAGCAATGTGCATGAGAGCTGAGGCTCCCTGCCTCCAACACAGCAACCATTGGCTCCTGCCGCTGTAAATCACAGCCAGTGAGGTGGGGTGGGGTTGAGCTCTGCTCTGGGTGTCTTATGGACACCCAGAGCAGAGCTCAGGAGAGCGCACGCAAGAATGCCCCTATAGCAAGCAGCTTGCTATGGAGGCACACAGCAGGAGACAAGAGCCAACATTGCTGACCGGGGACCCGAGAAGAGGAGGATTGGGGCTGTTCTGTTGTTCTGTTCAAAACCATTGTACAGAGCAGGCAAGTATGACATAAAAAAAAATGTTTTAGTAATTACGAATCTTTAATATCACTTTAAGAAAGCAGTAATAAGAGTGTTATGTCTTTAAAATAAAAATGACCATCCTTTATTTTCAGGGAGCAGGAAAAAAATATGCTTAGGAAAAAGACAAAAGGCTCAATTCACAAATATTAACACCGATTCTTTTTTGCTTTCTCTGAGGACTACAGAAGCACACCCCCACTATGTTATAGGCAATAGGAAAGGGGTGAGGTTCCATACTCCTATCTTGTTTCTGTTGTCTTGATATAGAAGGACAAGTGAGTGTTGCCATCATAGCTGGAAGTGAGTTACTGGTAGAATCACCAGGTGATAAACAGTAAAGAATAAAGAGAAAAGAAAACGAATGCAGCCACCACATCTACCATTTTGTAAAGCTACAATATATGGAATTTGTGTTTCAGGGTTTAAATACTCTATAAGCTATGTGACAAATTTCAAAGGTCATTGGACTTGGTTGAAAATAACTCACTTTTTAGAATAGAGGTATCCTTATCCTGGTGTGTAAAGCCAGCCATAGATGGATTAAATATTGGGAGGTTCAGCAGATTCGATCCATCTATGGGCAGGCTGATTGTACTGAAGTCGATCCATCAATGGACTTCAGTATAACCAGCCTGTTTGGATTACTTGCATGCAATCGTTGCCAGCGGCTATAGCATCTGACGATGATCATCGTGTTCAGCAGACAGGGAAGGCTCCCCATCGGCAGAACACAATAGAACTGAGGTAGGGATTCCCCCATCACTGCTGACTGTGTTGATGTGGGAAACAAGTGATTTTTTTTTTTCCTTCCAGCTGTGTTCATCTATGGCTTGCCTTAATGTTGTGAACTGAAATTGAAAACTCATCAACAGAATCACTTTCACCACAAAGTCACAAAATAAGAGTAGAGGAAAGGAAACAGTCATGAAGGCTACTACTAGAAAAGAAGTAACACAATGCTGTGAGCACACGGTAAAGAAACAGTAGGACCTATAGTCAGCAGTATCATGTGGTGCCGTACATGCTCTACTTACTTAATAAGTGATGGAACACTTGGGTAACACTATCATCCCATTTGCACTGGAAGAAAGCCAGGCCTCCAGGAGTTATCTTCTGTTCATATTTTCGACAGAAATCCAAGGTCTTAAAAGTCCTCAGCTTCAGACTGTGACTGGGAAAGGAGTTCAGTATTAGATTGGAAGCAAGTTGAATACATGATTCTTTTCTTTTTTTTTTTGTACCCCTACAGATTAAAATAATTCCATCCTAACTCCAGCCATTTTTTTAGTGTTGAATTGCACTGGAAAGAGGTAGGACTTTTGCACAAGGGAGTTTACCACTGATCTGAAATGAGATGGTTGTCTATGGGACAATGCATATTGGGTGCAGTAATTTACACACATGCTTGTGTTTACTCATCTACAAGCATGTTTACGCGAGTATAAATGAGTATGTTACAATACTGGTAATGAAGAATAAATTTTACTCGTCTATGCGCTTACGCACAATTACCCGTCTACACTCAAAATTACTCAGGTTACAGTTTTATTTTTACTCAGGGACTGTCTGTCAACAAGTTCCTGCGTAAACATCAGTAAATTATGACGCCCGTGTGCAAGGGACTGTCAAACTACTATGACAGTTTAAACAAGTACCAAATCCAAATACTATGTGATGCACAAGCCATTTAAAATAAAAATAACTCACTTTACCTTTACTGACTGAGCCAAGTCCCCCTTTATTTGTGCTGCACAGCCTCCACCTCCCAGACCCTGCAACTCACAATGGAATGGTGGCAAAGTGCTGGCTGACAAACTACAGGCTTGTGAGTCAGCAGTGACAATGCTGATAACCATGTCACCCGCAAGAACTCATCCAGAGCCGGGACAAAGTCATCCAGTGCTAAGGGTGAATATGGAAAACTGTGCCTCCCCCCCTCCTGTGATGTGTGCACCTGATCATCTTCATTGATGCTGAGACAAGTGTGGTGGCAGCTGGAAATGGATCCGAAGTACTACTACACTTATCTCAGCGTAACTGACCAAGCTCTAGGTCAGCCAATAAGGTTTCACATGTACCCGGAAGTACACAGTGATATTGTGGGATCTCCCTATTGTGTGTGGATAATGCAGGACCAGTAAGAGACAAAACCAAGCAGGGTACACATGTGAGGAGGAAGGCACAGCTCACCACTGTATGCCCAGGGAAGCTACTCCTCCTGGCCCAGACCTCATCTCAGTCCTTGTAGGACACATCCTATCTCACTTAGAATGAACTTTGCTGACTTACAACTTCAATAACTGCAACAAACCACAAGAGCCCCAAGACTTCCCAGAGCTGCAATGGTTTACGTCAGTGGTCAGACAACCATCGATCACAACCAACCCATCGAGGAAGAGCGGCGCCGGGAAGCGATGAGCTCAGACATGTTCATTGCTTGAGCTCTCAAGTCAGGAAGCTGTCAAAACCAATCCTAGGCAGCGGAGGCATTCCCTGCCTTGCAGCATGGTCTTCACATACATGTGGCTGTGGGGTGGGGAATGCCCCTGCTGCCTAAGATTATGGTCAGCTTTGACAGCTTTCAGGTGGGTTCAGGCTCTTGTCCGATTATGCCTGAGCTCATTCTACTAAGCAACTTATTCACTCCCTGGTTATCTCTCGCCTTGACTATTGTAACTCCCTCCTCATTGGTTGACCTCATCGCAGACTATCCCCTCTTCAATCTGTCATGAATGCTGCTGCCAGACTTATCCACCTTACTAACCGTTCTGTATCTGCCACCCCTCTCTGCCAATCCCTCCACTGGCTTCCCGCTGCCAAACGGATAAAATTCAAAACATTAACAATAACGGATAAAGCCATTTATACCTCTGCCCCAAATTACATCACCAATCTTGTCTCCAAATATCACCCAAACCGTTTGCAGCCCTACCCACTACTGACAACTGGATACTGCAATACATCCTACTGGCTCCCGGACACTGCCAGAACTAAGAACAGCCAGCTAGACCTAAAACTAGTTAAGCAAAAAATCTAAAAATGAACTGGAACAAATCCCGCCCCATAGATGAGTTCTTGCCTTCTGTTGATCAGGCACGCCTAGAGTTAGTTCCTTCACGTACCTGAATATATACCATACCACATACCACTGAATATCAAACCACTGTTTACTCAAATGTGGGCCAGAAGTTCCCTCGGTGTAAGGAGCAGGATTAATTTAATGAAGAGGATTCTTCTCCCTAAGATCCTCTATATCCTCTGGAACTCCCCAATATATACACCCCTCAAATACTTTAAGACCATGGATGCTATACTGCAATCTTTTGTCCTAATCTGTGGGTCTCTAAGGGCATATATTATATTTTTTTCCAGCTGTTGAACAAATTTCCCATCCCTAATTTTACGTTACTCCGCTACCTCCAGCTTCGTCATGCTGTACGAGCTCACTTGGGACAAGTACCCTGTCCCTACATCTATCTCCATGATGGAGGTTATAATAGGAAAGACTCTCGAAAGCTGACCTCAATGTTCTATAACATCCTACTCACTCCACTGGCTTTCAAAATTGCCTACTCCCCTAAATCTCACTGGGAGGTGGACACAGACGGCCTGAATGATGAGGAGTGGGTTTGAAGGGCTATATAATTGGAAATTGATGACTTCTAAGCTGTCCAATTGCCTCACGCAACTCTATATCTTACACAGGGCTTACCTAACTCCAGTACGCATGTAGAAATTTTGCCCAATGTAAAGTCCACTATGCCCAATGAGCCTGACTGAACCTGACACATTTAGTCAACTTCTATAGTCCTGCCCTAAAATGAAGGGATTTTGGTCACAAGTTGTGCAATTCTTACATCAGAAAATGGGGTCACCACTATCCCTAAACCTCAATCATAGATGTTAGGGCTTTATTCTGATTTTAGCCTATTTCTGCACTATAGCTTGTTCAGAGAGAAGAAGGCTGGATATCTGAAGTCAATAATACTTCACCTCTTACTTGTACATAGTCTTCAGTCTAAGTGTTATTGTTCATGAGAGATCACCTGTAGCCCCTTCATTCTCGCTGTTCACGATTGTTGTCCTTGTATGGTACTTAGCATACTGAAAATGGATGTCCCCTTCAGGACTCCACCAGCCTGAGCAGTATTGATCTCTTCCCTTCATCTACACATGGATCATATTGTTTATGTATTAAATCACTATGGGAGACTGCTTTTGTAATTTTCTACATTGTACCTTGTTGTATTTTGTCATTTGCTTTTATGTGACAGCATTTCAACAAAGAAGTTATTTCTGAGTAAAAAATGTGTTTTATCGATGTACTGTCAGGAAGTGGAGGGAAATAAAAAACAGGCAATAAAAACCGGACTTTAGCCACAAAAGAAAATTTGTGATGGTTGGCCCTTAGCATTCTATTCATTTATAGAGTGGAGACTGCACTACTATAGCATACATAACATGCAATCCCTACTTGAAAAAAAATGTCACAATCCCAGGATAATTTACTTGACAACAGCTTTTGGACTGCAGGAGGAAACCTGCAAAAACTCACACAGTGATCTCATTAGAATCAAGCCAAATACCTTATTATTGTCAGGCAGTAATGTGCTACCCACATACAGTAAACTACAGGCTTTCAATCTTATCATAGCTTGTTAAGGGCCTCAGTTTGTGATGATCAGGGGGTTATGCCAGGCTACACAGAGCATGGATTACACAACTGTGGGTCAAAAGTTGAATGTATTCAGTGACCCACCGTGAACACCTTTTTCTTTTACTCTCCCCTCCCCCATTCTCTTTCCTCTACCATCCTTTCTCCTCTTCTTCATCCCACCAATACCTCTTGTTGTTGATGCATTGCAAGACTTCCATCCTACTATTTAGCCTATAGTATTTGAGGTTTTGGGATACTCTTTTTACCCAACACAGAGGCTGTAAAGCACATAGAGTAGATTGGTAGACTGCCTCACCCCCTACAGACAGGTCTCTCCATTCTGCTTTACTTCCTTCAATACAGGCAACTGGCACTCCAAACTTACCATGGGTTTGGTCGCATCTCCTCTGTATAATCAATGCGTTCCTCTTGTTTAAACAAGATGAATATGTATCTATGGTAACCAGTGCCTTTGGCAGGGAATGTGGGAATGTAGTGACAGATCTCCTCTCCAGAAAGGACTTGGTTCCCAGGAATGTTTCCCCTGAAATAAATAATCACGAATTCACAAATGGGGGAGAACCAAGCACACAATAGCTTTATTACCCTACAGTAAATTGCAAGAGTACTTACACCAGCCAGTGCACATATTCTGAGCCTGTATCCCTCAGGTGGCCATCTAAGAAAATAACACAGAGTGGAGATAATTAACCACCTTAATACTGGACACTTTCACCCCATTTCTGCTCAGGCCAACTTTCAGCTCTCAGTGTTGTCACACTTTGACAATTGCTCGGTCATGCAACACTGTACAGAAATTTAGTATCTCACAAATTGAGCTTTCTTTTGGTGGTATTTAATCATCAGGTTTTTTTTAATTTTTTGCAAAACCTGAAAAAAATTTAAAAAAATAAAAATGTATTACCATGGTCACAGTGATCACATGGTACCGGCAGCTTGGTACATGTGATTTTGCATCTGCTGTGTCTGGTGGACACAGCAGGTGACAGATCACGTGGCCCATGGGGCATGATCCTGGGAGGATGTTATAGGACAGTGATGGCGAACCTATGGCACGCGCCAGAGCTGGCACGCAGAGCCATCTCAGTGGGCACGCCAGGAAGAAGAGGATGATGAGCGCGCATGGACCGGCCATCCAGATCTCGTCCACACTGGATCCCCATCAAACTACATTTCCCACATGTCTCTGGGGCCAGGGTGGGCGTGGACGAGAGGAAACGGCTCCAATGCGGCTCTGGCACCAGGGGTGATGTACCCGGGGATGGGCGCGGAAGAGAGGAAGAGGCTCCCACACTGCTCCCACACTGCTCCGGGGCCAGGGGCAACGTGTTCAGCGTGGATGGGAATGAGCTGCTGGGTTGGAAGCCACACCGACGCTGCCAGAGGTGAGATTGCTTGCAGTGTCATCCATCAGTGCCCAGCAGTGTCGCCCAGCGCTGCCCAGCAGTGCCGCCCGTCAGCGCTGCCCAGCAGTGCCGCCCGTCAGCGCTGCCCAGCAGTGCCGCCCGTCAGCGCTGCCCAGCAGTGCCGCCCGTCAGCGCTGCCCAGCAGTGTCGCCCGTCAGCGCTGCCCAGCAGTGTCGCCCCGTCAGCGCTGCCCAGCAGTGCCGCCCAGCGCTGCAGCAGTGCGCCCGTCAGTGCTGCCCAGCAGTGCCGCCTGTCAGTGCCCAGCAGTGTCGCCCATCAGTGCCACCCAATGATGCCCAGCAGTGCCACCGATCAGTGCAGTCTGTCAGTGCGTCCAGGTAGGCAAGTGGTTAATTGCAGTGTTGGCACTTTGAAATAAAAAAGTTGGTTTGTGTTGCAGTTTTGGGCACTCGGGCACAAAAAGGTTCGCCATCACTGTTATAGGACATCCAGTCAGGATACCAGCGCTCCTGCTCAGCTATCATTTGTCTATAGGCCCGGCAGGAGGCGGTTAAAATGCAACACAGTTTTCCACTAAGTATCAGAGACAGACAAAGATGAAACAGACAGGAGTTCTTCTATAACCGCTTCCCACCTGGCCACTGCACATAAACAGTCGGGTGGGAGCTTTCCCATCCTAAGTGGACATTCCTGAACTTCCTATCAGAACATGGGCCACACAGCGGCACAGTTCTGTGATGGTTGTGTCCCTCGGACACAGCACATCCCAAATCGGGATATGGGCTCTCTGATTGGCCCTCCCGATCACGTGTTGAGTGTGTCCAATTACAGCCATCACTGAATGTAAGCAGAGACACATGTTTTTGCAGCTGTTTTCCCCGCTGAGCTCAGTGCGGGGGGGAGGATGCTGCAGCTCGTGACAGCCTTCTGCATAGCTGATGATTTTAGTGTTCAACTATGCAGAAAACACACAGATTGCAGCCATCCCCACACAGTACACCAAGCACCATCTGTCCCTGTCCAAGTGTCACATCAGCATCTGTGCCAGTGTGATATCAACATCTGTACCAGTGCGCAACACATCTGTCACAGCATACTAGTGTCCAGTCAACATGTCACAGTACACCAGTGTCACATCAACATTTGTCACAGTACACCATTACAAAAAAACATCTGCAATAGTGTCCCATTGCAACATCAACATCTGTCACAGTGTACCAGTGCACATCTGCAATAGTGTCCCATTGCAACATCAACATCTGTCGGTGTCTGCTCAACATCTGTCAGTGTACCAATGTCCCACCAATAAATAAATAACATTTAAAAACGCTCGCGTGCAAAGGCAAATGCAGGCGCTGGTCCCGTACGCATATGTAAACGGTGATCACACCACACATGTGAGGTATTGCTGCGAATGTCAGAGCGAGAACAATAATTCTAGCACTAGACCTCTTCTAATGCTAAACTGGTAACCTGTAAAGGCATATAAAGTGTTGCCTATAGAGATTTTTAAATACCGAAGTTTGGCGCCATTTCACAAGCGCGCACAAATTAAATTGTGGCATGTTTGGTATCTATTTATTCGGCCCAACACCACATTTTATATTTTACCAAATTGGGTATTATATATTGTGTTTGTGTGCATTAAAATATATTAAAGTGTATTTTTGTGCTAGTGTGTAAAATCGGTTTGGAAAACCACTGCGCAAACACCTTATGAAATTTGCAAAACCCACCATTTTATTCTCTAGGGCCTCTCTAAAAAATATATAAGGTTTTGGTGTTCTAAGTTCTAGCAAAATACTGATTTTTACTTGTAAATAAAAAGTGTCAGAAGGTTGCCTGGTCTTAAAGTGGATAACGCCTAAAGGTTCTCCTTGGATGTTGGGCCTGTCTCTGTGGCTAGCCTGTGAAAAAGTCTCACGCGTGTAATATCGCCATACTTAGGAGTAGCAGAATGTGTTTTGGGGTGTAGTTGCAAGTATGCCTATGCCATGTGTTACAAATAAGTTAATGTGACATTTTTGTGGGAAAAAAAAACAAAAACAAAAACAAAAAAACACTTTTTTTTAATTTTATAATTTTCCAAAGAATTGTGGAAAAAAATTGCAACTTTAAAAAACTTGCCATACCTCTTACTAAATACCTCAGACTGTCTACTTTCCAAAAAGGGGTCATTTGGGAGGTATTTGTACTGCCCTGGCATGTTAGGGCCTCAGGAAATGAGACAGGCCATCAGTACATCAGGTGTGATCAATTTTCAATGAAAGCTTGTAGATTCTATAACTTTCACACAGACCAAATATACACTGATTAGGGTTATTTTTACCAAATAAACGTAGCAGTATAAATTTTGGTTGAAATTTATAAAGAACTACTTAGAAGAATTACTTATTTGCAAAATTATATAACAAACGAAGAAAAACACTCTTTCAAAATTTGCAGTCTTTTTTCCTTTAGAGAGCAAAAAAAGAAGAAGAAAAAACAGCGGTAAATACCACCAAAAGAAATCTCCATCTGTCTCAAAAAATGATAACCATTTCATATGGGTACAGTGTTGCATGACTGAGTAATTATCATTTAAAGTGTGAGAGCGCTGAAACCTGAAAATTGGCCTGGGCAGGAAGAAGGTAAAAGTGCCCAGTATTGAGGTGGTTAATGGTGTCACTCAACAAAATACATAAAATTCTTTTATCTGCAGTGATAACAAACCTGGATTTGTCATAAGAAGAGTCCACAAAGAGTCTTCCTGTGCATCAAACGTCACCTCTGGAGCCACTGCGGCCTGAGCCAACAAACAAAATATATATCAGCACAATTCGTGTTATGTTAGGCCCCAGAAGTAAAAAAAAAAAAAAAAAAAAAAAAACAATTAGGGAGACCCTTACCTCAGATGGAGTCACCACATTTCCATAATAGACAGGCATAACTGTGTCATGTCCTGCATTATATTGGACACGAAGAGCAACTCTAGGAACAAAGGTGGCTTCTCCAAAGAGATCTTTATATACTCCATAATGTTCAGCCACTCTCTGGATGTGATGTGGGCCACACGTTCGTTCCCATTCTGCTCGAACTTCATCCAGAGGTATGTACACTATGGTGGAACAAATACAGTGGTATTATGGAAAATGTATTTGTTTTTGTAAGGCCTCATGCAAATTGGACGATTTGGCAACTCTCTTAGAAGCCTTTCCTGCTGGCTGCAGTGTTTTTTCAGAAAAAACACCTGACGCTTGTAAAGTGTGTAACATGTTTAGGCGCATCAAGTGCATGGGTGCTAATTTGTTTCACTGGCCAGAATAATTTATTCTGGTCACTGAAATTAATTAATGCTCAAGTGCTAAATGTATTCACAGGCCTCAAGAGGTTTTTTCAGCCAAAAGCTCACTGCACCTGGATGCACTGACTGTGGGGTTTTTTCTTTTGCCTCTAAACTCCTCTAAAAGTCTATGGACACATAGGCCAACATACAAGAGCGTTTAGAGACAAAAACAAAAACAAGACGTGCCCTAGGAGCAGCTGGAAAAACATGAAGCATGAAAGTTATCTATTGGATGTTACCTTCAGCATCATAAAGGGATAGTCCATTCAAAGCCCTATGTTTTAAATGAGAGAGGCTTGAATCACCTATTGCTTTCATATGCATTTTGGAACCTGGTAGTGAGTTTTATTTATACAGGTTTCCAACTCCACCCACCTGCCATGACTATTACAAGACAGATCTCACACTTTTTATTCATCCTTAAAGTGTTACTAAACCCACAACAGTAAAATCAGTCTGTATATGCAGTAAAGCATGCTTGTTATACTCACTGTGGAACCTAAGAGGTTAATCCTCTGCATTGTGTAAAGGCCAGTGGATCCTGTCTATCTGATCCTCACCTTCTTCTACTGTCCCCAATCAATTTGCCTATGGACAGAGCACAGTGGCAAGTATGCACATGCTCTGTTGGTGTGTATTGCTAGAGAGGTTTTTTTTTTTTTTGGAGGAAGCATGTGATCACCACAGGGTCAATCAGTGCTGTCTGGACAGAGGGTCAGAGATCATGCAGCCTCATAGGACAGTGCAAAAGATCGACCGATCAAAGGATTGATCAAGCGAAGGAAGGGTTGATTGCGCGAAGGGTTGATCAAACAAAGGAGGGATTGATCAAAAGAAAGAAGGATCAAAGGGGGGGGGGGGGGGGGGGGGGGGGGGGGGGGGACAATCAAAGGAAGAAAGGATCGATCAACCGAAGGTAGAAGCGTTCGATCAATCGATGGAATGATCAAGCGATCGATGGAAGGATAGATCGATTGAAGGATTGACTGAAGGAATGGTCGATAGATCTAATGAAGGAGCGATCGAAGGAAGGAGCGATCAAAGGATTGAGGGATCGGTCAAGGAATCGATCAATCGAAAGAAAAATCAAAACCTCTTCAGTGTGAACCGAGCCTTAGGCAGCAAGGAGGATGAGGATGAGGAGAGAGGAGACCCTATTGGCCAGTTAAGTGTCTGAAGAGTTAGGATCTGGAAACAGATAGCAGCACCTGTGATTGACAAGAGCACTGACACCACAGTGCTAAAGGAGATCACTTGCCAGCCCAGCTAGACAGAATGGCACCCACCAACAGAGTCTCATGTCAAGATACATGTGCCTTTGGAATCTTTGCTTAAACATATGGGTGTTTATGCTGCTGTAGTGGCAGCCATCATTTCTTGTGAGTCTTCAATTCAGTGGGAGACGGTGAAGGCAATTTTGATTGGAATGGTTTTGCTGCAAGCAAGAGCACTTTATGGTGGTGGATGGACATTAATTTAAAAATTTGTTTGCACAATTGTTTTTTGATATCACGGACATCCATTTGTTTTGATATATTTCAGTTTCATTATCATATGTTTGGCACTACACTTTATGTTTTAGTTACTATTTAGGTTTGTATACTACCTATTGCTGTTAGCTGCTTTACACTCTCAGTCAACGCGGATATTGTTTATTTTATTTTAGCCTCATAGGACAGGCAGAGTAGAATGAAAACTACTCCTACAGATTAAACAGTGCTCGGCTGGACACTGATAGAAATCACAAGACCGCTATGTACTGCTGATGAGAAAAGATATGTAGCAGTTATTTACTAAAATAGTAGCATTTCCATGTTCTGTGTACTGTGGAAGACTAGATATAGTGAAGCAGCGTCATGGGTTTAGTAACATTTTAATTGTCCATTTTATTTTTTTTTACCAGTAAAAGTTAATTGTCCATTTTAGAGACTACGGCCAGTTGCTGAAGCCAGCATCTACCCATTATCACATCAGTGTACTGAGTAGATTAACCCTTTAACATGGAACTACAATCAAAAAGTGAAGATTTGCTAGGTTAATGTGAACATTTAGAAAAGTGTGCCTAAGCAGTATTCTGAAAAATGTACCTTTTTTCTTAAACTCATCCTGAAAAAAAAAAAATATATATATATTTCTGGTATGCCTAGGCACAACTGTGCATACAGCCTCATAGCTGTACGTCTGTAATATGAGATCTCAGGCTACTCCGTCTCTGATAGTCTCAGATTTGCAGTGGGATTTGGAGATGTCACTACTGTGCTGCTCATTGTTATCCTTGCTAGAGGCTCTGACATGCCCTGCTACCACCCACACAAGAACAGTACAGAACAAGGCATTGTCAGTAAGCCAGTAATAGGGGAAAGGGCTGTTGAGCACACCACAATACTGGCAATACTGGTGTCCTTTTGTCCTCTGCCTTTTTGGGGCATGGCTTGCAGAGTTCAATTCCTCTTTTAAAGATTTAAAGTAGAATTACATTTTTTTTCAGTTTTAGAGTGGAAAGCATTCAGACCCTTCATTAGGTTTTTATGGTTCTCTCTCTATTAGGTAGATTTCCCACCACATTCTGTTCCAGTGGCAGAGGAGGATGTAAAGAAATTTGAATGGAGACATGGACAGCAATAAAAACCTGACAGAAGTTATAATTCAGTACACTGTCCAAAACTTTTTCATTAAAAGGTCTCCTTGGCTAAGTAAATAAATCAAACATACAGTAAATAGCTAAAACCATAAACTATGCGACCCAGATAACATACATGTGCGACGGCGTGCTGCTCTTTCTAGTTCTGCATTACTGTGGATGTCCTTCCATATCTCCTTCCGGGCTTTCTTTAATTTTGTTGAAGAGGGTACTAAATAGGGTAGCCCAATATCCACCTTCTCGGACTCTTCATCTAGTGAAAAAAACAAAAACACAAACAAGTGTAATCATTGGTAATATAAAACTCAGGACTTTCTTTAGGCCAACTGATGTCATAATGCAACTTCCCACTCCACTACATAATTCCAAAGCAATATTCCACTACAATGCATAATTGTTTTGACCTCCTGCTTTACATATAGCAAATTTGCAATGAATACATAGTACACAGTTATTATCGCAGTGCCAATTTTGTATATAATTTTTAATACCGTACTAAAGAAATGTGTAGATTAGCCATCATTTAGGTAATTACTTCATGTCTTGTAATAACAATGAAACACAGGGAGTGCATTATTTTCAAGAAGGTAGCACAGTGAGAAGGTAGCACAGTGAGAAGGTAGCACAGTGAGAAGGTAGCACTGCAAAGCAGGAAGCAGAACCAGCATATGTAGACCAAAGACCAACAGGGGTACAGGGGTTGGACAAAAATAGGATTTTTACATGACTACATGATTTGCAGATGTTTCTGGTGGAAAGCAGAAGTGATGTAACACCCTTTTGCTTCCGCTGTGTGATGAGACACCTAACAAAATGGGAATCCTCACTTTCATCATTCACTGCATGTGCTACTAGTAATACGGAGTGATGTCAGAGCTTACAAAGCGGGCCAATTGTTGGTGACCGCTTAGCTGGTGCTTCTGTGACTGAAACTGCCAGTTTATTTGCCGTGTCATGAGGTACAGTATCAAAGGTTATGACGGCATATGCAGTTTCTGGGAAGACATTGTCTGATAAGCATAAGCGGGATCGACATGTCAACTGACCGAAAGAGACAATAAGGACATTGTGCAGGAATGTGACCCGGAATAAAAAAATAACTGCTGCAAAAGTGACTGCAGAGAACAATCTCAGTCTTCAAAGTTTTGTAAGATAAATTCTGTAATCTGGGACAGAAATGGACTAACCATAGCACAGTTCCAGATCATGTATAAGATCCCCACCAACTCCTTGGCATTTATGGCAAAGGGCTGTCCCTTTTCCCAATTTTGAATAACCACATTGGTGCAAAGTAGACCCTATGAAAGTAACATTTTGTCTCTCACAGAGATAGCGGAGCTAAAATATGAGGCATAAACCTTATCCCAATCCTGCTCCCCCATTTCTGGAATGTCCCTATCCCATCGTGCCTGGATTCGACCTCATCCCATTCCTGGTCCTCCATTTCTGGAATGTCCCTATCCCATCGTGCCTGGATTCGACCTCATCCCATTCCTGGTCCTCCATTTCTGGAATGTCCCTATCCCATCGTGCCTGGATTCGACCTCATCCCATTCCTAACAAAAACTATAAAACTTTTCTTTTTCTTAAATAATAAATATATCCACCTATCCCACCATACAAAAAAGTGTCCAAAATATCAAAATAGTGTCCAAAATGTCTCAATAATCAAAATAAATCAGGGGACACGTGACATCAGACGTATCGACGCTGACCGGAGGTGCGATCGCGGCCATCTTGGAAGTGGGAACATGTGGCCAATATTTCCCTAAACTTGTCTGTATCTGTATCCCTGTGAGGAGGAGCTGCTTCACCCATATCTTAATGTAAGTTGCCAAATAAAGGAAGACTGTGTTTTATCTACCATTGGTAATTGTGGATTTTTATCATGAGGGAAATGGAGGAATAACCCTAACATTGGATGAAGCCTGAAATCTGAATGAAGAGATAGTAACCCAGAGTGGTGCTATGCCTTGTCATTTCCTACATAGGGTATTTATCCATCAGCACATGAGGTGGAGATTGCTGGCTTGGGTTTAAGGTGTACACTTATGTATACAGAGTGTGGTGATACACATTTTTTTGCAGTGACAATTTTTAGTTTCACTTATTTTGCAGCTGACACTTTATGTGAGTGTCCTTTATTGAGATATTTATTATTTGCATGTATATAGATACTCACCTATAGAGTATACACATGTATAATAGATTTTGCATGTTGCACAGAGAGTGGCACGTGTGTTTTATTATTTAAAAGGTATGACACACTATGTTGAGTTTTTTTCTTTCGAGGTTTATTGTCATCAGGATTTGCAAGTTTGAAGAAGAAAGAATTTAATGGTTTACATGTGTGGAGATTTATTTTGATTATTGAGACATTTTGGACACTATTTTGATATTTTGGACACTTTTTTGTATGGTGGGATAGGTGGATATATTTATTATTTAAGAAAAAGAAAAGTTTTATATTTTTGTTTGCTTGGCCTTCAAGGGTGGAGGTGGATAACTTTTCTGGGATATTGTGTTGGGATTGTTTTGCTGTATATTTTTATATATGCTCATCCCATTCCTGGTCCTCCATTTCTGGAATGTCCCTATCCCATCGTGCCTGGATTCGGCCTCATCCCAATCCTGCTCCTCCATTTCTGGAATGTCCCTATCCCATTGTGCCTGGATTCAAGAAAGTCCACATCAGGTTTTCTCATCCAGGGTTCCGTGGAACCCTAGGGGTCTTTAGAGAGTGCAAGGGGTTCCTTGGCCAATGAGCAATTTCTACCTCTCATATAAGTTCCCACTTACACCATTGATCTTTTTAGCCATCTATAAGGGGCTAACTATTCCCAATATAAAGAGAATTCTTCCCACTGACCATCACACGAAAGTTTAATGAATAGTCATTTTTAGCAGGGGTCCCCTGAGACTGAAAACTTATTTCAAGGGTTCCTCTGTGTTGTAAAGGTTGATAAAGGCTGTTCTAGATTGTGTGATCAGTGATAAAGTACCAAACATTCTGGAAATTTAGAGTGAGATGGTTGCAATACGGCTTTTCTAAGGTAGAGGGCTGAAATACATCTTGTGAATCAAACTAGACCTCTGCAGTATGTTTTTGTTGGAGATAGTGCAGCTTCCATGTAGGGGGAAATGCCAATTTCTGCTGTAGCACGATGATTGCCTTAAAGGAACCCCGTACATACAGTTAGGTCCATATATATTTGGACACAGGCACAATTTTAGTTTTTTTTTTTTTTTTTTTTAGGTATTTACCAAAACATATTCAAGCTATAGTTATATAATGGATACGGGCTGAAAGTGCACACTCTCAGGTTTGAGGGTATGTACATCCAAATTGGAGGCAGGGTTTAGGAATTACAGCTTCTAAGATTAGCCATCCTCCTTTTTTCAAGGGACCAAAAGTATTTGGACAATTGAATATAATCATAAATAAAATGTTAATTTTTAATATTTTGTTGAGAATCCTTTACTGGCAATGACTGCCTGAAGTCTGGAACCCATGGACATTACCAAAGACTGGGGTTCCTCCTTTCTGATGCTATGCTAGGCTCTAACTGCAGCTGTCTTCAGTTGTTCTTTGTTTGTGGGTCTTTCTGCCTTTAGTTTTGCCTTTAGCAAGTGAAATGCATGCTCAATTGGGTTGAGAACAGGTCATTGACTCGGCCATTGCAGAAAATTCCACTTCTTTTCCTTCAAAAGCTCCTGCGTTGCTTTTGCAATGTGTTTTGGATCATTGTCCATCTGTACTGTGAAGCGCCGTCCAATCAACTTTGCTTGCTGCCTTTGGCTGAATCTGGGCTGTCCTCACCCTCTTTATAGAACCCCCCCTTCACTCTGCAGCCCCAGCCCTCCTTCACATTCCTGTCCTCACCCCATTTATAAAACTTCCCCTTCACACTGCAGTCCCCAGTCCCCCTTCACATTCCTGTCCTCGCCCCCTTTGTAGAAGCCCCCATTCATAACACTCACTTCACATTCCTGTCTTCACCCAGCCCTTTTATATCACTCCCTTCCCTTCACATTACAGTTTCCAGACCCCCTTCACATCACCCCCGGCTTCCCCCATACTTCATTGTAGTGACAGACCCCACTTCCAGTGCAGAGGGTGGAACGCACAGAAGGTCTAGAGCTGACATTGGAAGGGCAGCACAGTGATGGACAGAGGGTAGGAGCTGCCCCAGTTAACGGATTGGTTTCCATGATGCAGGCAGTCCCAGAAATCAGTCAGTTAACTGGGCCAGCTACCGCCCTATGTACATTATTGTGCTGCTTCCCTATGCCGGGAGGGGACCGGCTCCTAAATGGCACGACCGCTGCGGGTCCGGGAGGAACATGAACTCAGTCCGCTACTGGACCACGGCCTGCCATTTAGTGATGGCTGGTTTAGATCAAAGCATATTCATTGTTAGAATGGCCTAGTCAAAGTGCAGACCTAAATCCAATTGAGAATATGTGGCAAGATTTGAAAATTGCTGTGAACAGACGCTCTCCAAAATTTCCACTCGTCTGCTCACATTTAACGAGTGGAAATAACATGGAGGCGAGTCACTGACAGAGGCGTTGTCACCATAAGGCAGCACAGGCAGCTGGGTAGACAGATCCAAGCGCTCCATGTCCCGGGCCTGTGCAACAATCGCCCTCTCCATTCCCCCATTCCTCTCACTACTCACCCGTAGTGTTTTGCTCTCCACCCTCAGTCTCAGTATCCAGCAGTGTCCAGGTCTCTCACTAGGGGGAACAAGTGTGGGCTGCCAGTGTGTACAGGGTGCCGCCGCCACATCAACCTCAACTCCCTGAGATGCTGGTTCTCATCTGACAGGTTAGATCACGGTGCTCTGGCTGCAGCTGCATTTTCTTCCCAACAATCTCTCCCCTCCTTTCTCGTCTAGATCTTCTGTTCTGCTTCGGTCTCCTCTTTCACTCCTTTCCGCCATCCCAGTCCAGTCACACCTGTTCTCTGCTTTCCTCCTCTCCTTCCCCGCCATGCACAGTTCCAGCACCGCTGGAGGGCACTTTCTGTTAGTGGGGGCTCTGATGGTCAAAGGGGATTGTTAGGAGGATGACATGGGACGGGGGAGATGGGACTGGAGAAGGCGGAAGACATGTCATGGAGGAGGTGCTTACATTGCTTTATGTTAATATTGTTAAATTTGTTGTCATAAACATTTATTCTGCATAAAACATTTAAGCGTCATTTCATGAGATAATTTACGAGGGTGTGTTTAGGGGCAGAATTAGGGA